ATTACTACTTGCTTTGCTTGCTCAAAGCCTAGGGACATTAAGAATACCGGTGAGATCCCATAAGAGGCCAGTTTGTGATCTATTGCCTGTTTCCAGGGGTAGGGGAAGTTGTCAGTCAACACTAGTGGGGACAGTCCCTCGGGAAAGAAATGCATTTTGAGCCAATGAATGATCATCATCTTCCAGACTTGACTTGACAGAAGACAAATCCACCTGCTGTATGTTGTTGAATTGTGCACCCTCCAACCAACTCTCACCCATTTTAATATATTTTTTTAAAAAAGAGTTTTATTATTTTTTAGTTACAAAGATAAACATCCCATCTTTCCTTATGCAGTGTGTCGTCTGGGTACAAACATCTCTATGCAACATCGTTCCTCTTTTGCCACATTTTTCACAGTCATATTAACATTATTTCCCTAAGTTTAGCATTATAATATATTGAGCATTTAAACGTTATGGAACTCTCCATTTTTCTTCTTAATATCTTCTAGTAATAATATCATATCAATGTTACACATAATTACTCCCATCATACACATACTAATCATTTTCATCTTATTTATATCTCTATCTAAGTGTATTATCTACCTATTTTTTTTAACTTTTTTCATTTCCAAACTCCTTTTTTCCCCTCCAACCATTGGTAAAATACCTCCCAAATTATTTAGTATTCAGTTTGCTCTTTCTCCTTAATTGCTAATGTTAATTGTTCATTCCTGCACATTCTAATATTTTCCTTATCACCTAATATCTTCTTTTTAAAGGTGGCCAAAATCCCACAGGTCGTCTCCCAACAAGCAGCGGTGGCTAATATCCAGCAGGTGGTTTCGGTTTCCCAACAGGTAAGGTTTCCTAGAACCTGTTGGCTCTTCCAGGTGTCCACAAGGCAGCTGGGCCTTGAAGCTTATTGTAATGATGGTCTCATCTTTCTCAGAAAGGCACTAAAATCGGCCCACTATATTTTTGGACTGTTGTTCGCAGCTCCGAGGTTGGCAATTTGGTTGCAAACATTTCATCACCATTCATGAGACGCAGTG